CACAGAGCCTAAACAAAGCTTCACAGAGCCTAAACACAGCCTCACAGAGCCTAAAAACAGCTTCACAGAGCCTAAAACACAGCCTCACAGAGCCTAAACACAGCTTCACAGAGCCTAAAACACAGCCTCACAGAGCCTAAACACAGGTTCACAGAGCCTAAACAAAGCTTCACAGAGCCTAAACACAGCCTCACAGAGCCTAAACACAGGTTCACAGAGCCTAAACACAGCCTCACAGAGCCTAAACACAGCCTCACAGAGCCTAAAACAGCCTCACAGAACCTAAACACAGGTTCCCAGAGCCTAAACACAGCCTCACAGAGCCTAAACACAGCCTAACTTCAACTAATACATTTTAACCTAACGTTACATATACAATATTAACAAAGGACAGCAGCCAGCAACCATTTACTCAACCACATACGAAACCTCTATATCTTTCCCTCAACCATGGCGGGTTTATTTACAAATATTAAACAGTTTACAAAGTTCGAATCTTTATTATGGTTATAAACAACCTTGGTGCTTTCCCCCTGATAATTCCCTTCCCCTATCGAGCTCAAAAACCTTTTAATAAAACGTAAACAAAGCCGCCATGATTGCGAGAAGATGTACAGGTTTCGTATTTACTTGGGTAAATCCGTGACTCGAACCAGGATTCAAACCGGTGCTTCTGAAGCCCGTTTTCTCCATTTTCCAATCCGTAAAAAAAATAACTCATTGCCTAACTACAAACACGCGAACCCTAAGCAACCTACCCAACCCATCGAGGTCGATGCATAGAAAACGTGAATATTACGATGCTTTATTATTAAAATGTCCTATTTTTAATTGATTATTTCAGTTATATATAAATGTCCTGTTTTTTTTGAGAGAGAGAGAGAGAGAGAGAGAGAGACACACACACAGAGTGACAGAGACAGAGAGAACCAGACATAGACAGATAGAGACAGATAGACACAGAGAGACAGACACAAAAGATGATATTTAACCCAAGGGATAATAAACCCATGGAACCGCCTACCTGCAAGTGAGATAATGCGCTCGTAGCCTCGTGCTTCCCCAACTCTTACTTAACCTGTTCTTCTACTGAGTGCACAACATTTCGTGTTTTTTTAACGCTATAAGAACTCACTGTACTAATCACAGTGCCTCAGTGAAATTAAAAATCACCGCAGAATTGTCGTTTCATAGGCCTATACGATCGGCTTTGGGAGGTAGCCTATGTTCATAGGCTTTTGAAATGGCTAAATCACTGTTGTTTTTTTCGGAGGGGAATTGAATGACGGAATACTCACTTCCACTAAGAATATTTCGCTTAGCTAACAGCAAGTCACTGCCACACCATGTCTGGCACTGTTACACCATGTCTGGCACTGTTACACCATGTCTGACACTGTTACACCATGTCTGACAATGCCACACCCTGTCTGGCACTGCCACACCCTGTCTGGCACTGTTACACCATGTCTGACACTGCCACACCATGTCTGGCACTGCCACACCATGTCTGGCACTGTTACACCATGTCTGACACTGCCACACCCTGTCTGGCACTGCCACACCCTGTCTGGCACTGTTACACCATGTCTGACACTGCCACACCCTGTCTGGCACTGCCACACCCTGTCTGGCACTGTTACACCATGTCTGACACTGCCACACCATGTCTGGCACTGCCACACCCTGTCTGGCACTGTTACACCATGTCTGACACTGCCACACCATGTCTGGCACTGACACACCCTGTCTGGCACTGTTACACCATGTCTGACACTGCCACACCCTGTCTGGCACTGTTACACCATGTCTGACACTGCCACACCCTGTCTGGCACTGTTACACCCTGTCTGACACTGCCACACCCTGTCTGGCACTGTTACACCATGTCTGACACTGCCACACCATGTCTGGCACTGCCACACCCTGTCTGGCACTGCCACACCATGTCTGACACTGCCACACCATGTCTGGCACTGCCACACCCTGTCTGGCACTGTTACACCCTGTCTGACACTGCCACACCATGTCTGGCACTGCCACACCATGTCTGGCACTGCCACACCCTGTCTGGCACTGTTACACCATGTCTGACACTGCCACACCCTGTCTGGCACTGCCACACCATGTCTGGCACTGCCACACCATGTCTGGCACTGCCACACCATGTCTGGCACTGCCACACCATGTCTGGCACTGTTACACCATGTCTGACACTGCCACACCATGTCTGGCACTGCCACACCCTGTCTGGCACTGTTACACCATGTCTGACACTGCCACACCATGTCTGGCACTGCCACACCATGTCTGGCACTGCCACACCATGTCTGGCACTGCCACACCCTGTCTGGCACTGTTACACCATGTCTGACACTGCCACACCCTGTCTGGCACTGCCACACCATGTCTGGCACTGTCACACCAAACATATACAGTTGACCAAAAGGGGTCTCTTAGTACAGTTGGCTTCGTTCCCGACTCACAATCAAGGATCACGGGTTCGATACCCGAACGGGCCAGAAAAGATTGAGCACGTGTCCTTTCACCTGATGCCTCTCTCCACCTAATAGTAAATAGGTACCCGGGAGTTAGGCAACTGTTATGGAGTTGCATTCTGGGGAGGGTTAGTAGGTCCACCTATTGGAAGGGGCCTAGACGCAGGCCTAAATTATATATATATACACACAGGCTTACTGTCCCCAGCAAGGGGAATTATGTTTGGCATACAGTCACAACTCTATCATTGATAGGCCTACGTCGAATATGATTCTATTGGACACACGGCCTATACGAATATGTGTGTATACACACATCACTGACCTCAGGTGTTGGGATCCAGACTGAACCCAAACACGTGCAAGGATCCAGACTGACCCCAAACACGTGCTAGGATCCAGACTGACCCCAAACACGTGCAAGGATCCAGACTGACCCCAAACACCTGCAAGGATCCAGACTGACCCCAAACACCCGCAAGGATCCAAACTGACCCCAAACACCTGCAAGGATCCAGACTGACCCCAAACACCCGCAAGGATCCAGACTGACCCCAAAGACCCGCAAGGATCCAGACTGACCCCAAAGACCCGCAAGGATCCAGACTGACCCCAAACACCCGCAAGGATCCAAACTGACCCCAAACACCTGCAAGGATCCAGACTGACCCCAAACACCTGCAAGGATCCAGACTGACCCCAAACACCTGCAAGGATCCAGACTGACCCCAAACACCCGCAAGGATCCAGACTGACCCCAAAGACCCGCAAGGATCCAGACTGACCCCAAACACGTGCAAGGATCCAGACTGACCCCAAACACGTGCTAGGATCCAGACTGACCCCAAACACGTGCTAGGATCCAGACTGACCCCAAACACCCGCAAGGATCCAGGCTGACCCCAAACACGTGCAAGGATCCAGACTGACCCCAAACACGTGCAAGGATCCAGACTGACCCCAAACACGTGCAAGGATCCAGACTGACCCCAAACACGTGCAAGGATCCAGACTGACCCCAAACACGGGCTAGGATCCAGACTGACCCCAAACACCCGCAAGGATCCAGACTGACCCCAAACACCCGCAAGGATCCAGACTGACCCCAAACACCCGCAAGGATCCAGACTGACCCCAAACACCCGCAAGGATCCAGACTGACCCCAAACACGTGCAAGGATCCAGACTGACCCCAAACACGTGCAAGGATCCAGACTGACCACAAACACGTGCAAGGATCCAGACTGACCCCAAACACCCGCAAGGATCCAGACTGACCCCAAACACCCGCAAGGATCCAGACTGACCCCAAAGACCCGCTAGGATCCAGACTGATCCCAAACACCCGCAAGGATCCAGACTGACCCCAAAGACCCGCAAGGATCCAGACTGACCCCAAACACGTGCAAGGATCCAGACTGACCCCAAACACGTGCAAGGATCCAGACTGACCACAAACACGTGCAAGGATCCAGACTGACCCCAAACACCCGCAAGGATCCAGACTGACCCCAAACACCCGCAAGGATCCAGACTGACCCCAAAGACCCGCTAGGATCCAGACTGATCCCAAACACCCGCAAGGATCCAGACTGACCCCAAAGACCCGCAAGGATCCAGACTGACCCCAAACACGTGCAAGGATCCAGACTGACCCCAAACACGTGCTAGGATCCAGACTGACCCCAAACACGTGCTAGGATCCAGACTGACCCCAAACACCCGCAAGGATCCAGGCTGACCCCAAACACGTGCAAGGATCCAGACTGACCCCAAACACGTGCAAGGATCCAGACTGACCCCAAACACGTGCAAGGATCCAGACTGACCCCAAACACGGGCTAGGATCCAGACTGACCCCAAACACCCGCAAGGATCCAGACTGACCCCAAACACCCGCAAGGATCCAGACTGACCCCAAACACGTGCAAGGATCCAGACTGACCCCAAACACGGGCTAGGATCCAGACTGACCCCAAACACCCGCAAGGATCCAGACTGACCCCAAACACGTGCTAGGATCCAGACTGACCCCAAACACCCGCAAGGATCCAGGCTGACCCCAAACACGTGCTAGGATCCAGACTGACCCCAAACACCCGCAAGAATCCAGACTGACCCCAAACACGTGCTAGGATCCAGACTGACCCCAAACACCCGCAAGAATCCAGACTGACCCCAAACACCTACAGAGTTTCCATATAATGAACACTAAGACTAGTTAATGCTTGAATGACTTCCACATAATTAACTTATATAATTCCAAATATTTATATATAATATACAGTATATAATATTATATAACTTATATAATTCCATTCCCTAAGGAAAGCAATAAGCTAGCTAGGCCTACTATATTTTTTTCTGGTCTAAGTCTATGGTAATGTCTATGGTTTTACCATATAATGAAACAGCAAAAATCCTATACGTTATAATGTCATAGGCCTACGTGCTAATGCACACAAAAAACAGCCTATAAGAACAGAATTACAATGATCTTACCTTCAGAAATCCGTATAGATATCCCTCTTGACTTCAATCCAGGAATTTGCGACTTATTCTTCTAATTATAAATCATTTTCACTCCTAAAAATTATTGTTTTCAACAATAATGTTTTCTCTGGTCAATGTTTATTAGTTCTGAAATACATTTAATTTTCGAGAAGAAAAACGACACTACACACTTTAGTAGTTAACTTCTGCACGAACAATTAAATCACTTTAAAATATATATATAATTAAATATATTTCAACGTCTGTTAGGTAAATAAATATGGTAAACACCATGCCAGTACCGGCCAAGACCAGGGACCCGCAACACCCTCCTCCCTCCACCACGGCGCGAAGCACACTGACTCTCACAATCAATGTAGGTCCCCGCGAAGCAAGCGGCTGCCTCGCTTGTTTGCGTGAGCGACACTCGCGCTCCTGTGAGAGAGAAATCGTCCACCACCCCTTCTCCCATTGCCTCTCTTCCTGACCCAAAAGCTACTTTGTGGGCGTCGCTTTGTGAGTAGGTGGGAGAGAAAGGAGCCTCTACTGGCGCACCACTGTCACCTTTGTTGAGCCTCGCGGATAAGGAGATATGACCAAAGGCGTCATCATTGACGCGAGTGTGACGGAAGGTCATCAGTTAACTCCTGTATCCTTCAGTGAACTGGACAATGGAGACGCGAGAGGTACCAAGGACTCTCACTGTGGTTCAGCATCTCATTGTTCTCACAGAGGAAATGTCTGACGCATCCTGTTCACCCTAAAAAATATATATAAACCTGATATATTAATTCAAATATATCAGTTCTTTGGGATACACCATCGACAAGCCACCGGCTTCCAGTCCTCGTCGAGGCCACTAACGTCAGTGGCCCTTAAGTAAACTTAACGATAGTCACTACATCCGAAGATTTATATCTTACATAAACACTTCCATGATGTCACAACGGATGTGTTTTCCGTTTTTCATTGTTGACTTCGACACTCTATTTTGCCTATTTTCACACTGGTTAGTTCCACCGTGTCGCGGGAATACCTCCGGCTGCTACTTTCACAGTACCTGGTTCTTCTCCGCCTGGCTGGGATGTACGAGGCTAGGGGAGGCACGATAGGTTAGATTAGGCTAGGTTTTGCTAGGTATGGCGAGGTTAGGAAGCATATGCATTAATAATGTACTAGGAAGGATGAGCACTCGTAATGCACCAGGAAGGTTAGGCACTAATAATGTACTAGGAGGGACAGGTACTAATAATTATGTACTAAGAAGCACATTCACTAACAATGTACTAGGAAGCACATTCACTAACAATGTATTAGGAAGCACATTCACTAACAATGTACTAGGAAGCACATTCACTAACAATGTACTAAGAAGCACATTCACTAACAATGTACTAGGAAGCACATGCACTAACAATGTACTAGGAAGCACATTCACTAACAATGTACTAGGAAGCACATTCACTAACAATGTACTAGGAAGCACATTCACTAACAATGTACTAGGAAGCACATGCACTAATGACATTCTTACCAATCAGAGCCACGAAGACTTCTTAACACAAGTACAAGAAAACTTTCTCTTAAATTTCCCAGTGAGAGAATTCTCACCTCTCTTCTGATGCATGGCAATAGCCACCAGACGGTCAAACACACGCACGCAAGCACGCGACCGCACACGCACGCAAGCACGCGACCGCACACGCACGCAAGCACGCGACCGCACACGCACGCAAGTGCACAAGGAGACAGGTGAAAAACTGTGTACCCAAATGAGCTACAGAGACATTATACAAAATTTTGTCAGTGTCGAGTAGTTAACAAATGGAATGCTTAAGAAGTGATGTAGTGGAGGCTGACTCCATACACAGTTTCAAGTGTAGATATGATAAAAGCCTAATAGGCTCAGAAACCTATACATCAATTGATTGATGGTTAAGAGGCGGGGCCAAAAGCTGAAGCTCAACCGCCACAAACCCAACTAGGTAAGCATATATTCACAATACTTCACGGAATTTAATGAAAGCTGTGTAGCCTATTTTCTTTAAAAAAAATTAATTTGATTCCCATCAATTTGTAAATGCTGCCCTTTGTGTGCTTAGGATTTCACTCGTTTATTAATATATCACAAATATATATATTAATATATACATATTTATATCATTAATATATCCTTTGAAACCGTAATGTTCTCAATATGTCCTCATCAACAAAGCATCCTATGCTCATTAAGACAGGCCAAATGCTCGTTAATTCGGCCGCCAAACCTCATCTATATGATGAAAAACTGTTTACACACGACTCACAAATGGCGTTCGAACAGTTCTCAAACATTGCTTCGCTGACAACGATTACCGAATCGAAATTCAGTAAATGCTTCACCCACATACTTCAAATACAAATGATCGCCAACTTCATCAATTTTACGTATTGTGCAATAAAACTAAGTTTGTTTTATGTAAATTACTATTAATATGTATGTTAAAATTCTATGTTTAGTTAGGCGTAGGTTAGGGTCTGTGGGTGATTATTTTGAATTACGTGGGTGACGCATTTCAACCCATCCTCGACTCATATACATTCCATCCAGCGGTCGACCCCACAGACGCGTTCATAAATTTGTACATGCTGTTAATTCAAAACGGGAGTTTTATTAAATATAAATTAATATTATAATATATTAGCATATTGTGCATATATATACGCATAGGTTAGGTTAGATGTTTAGGTTCTGTTGACGATTATTTGTGTTTGTAGTACGTGGGTGAAGCATTTACAGCGTTGTGGTTCAAATAAAATTCGTCAGTAAAACACTTATTCCGAAAGTGTTCGAACGTCATCAGTTGTGAGTCGTGTGTAAACCGTTTTTCATTCATAAACAGCTGGGGTTTGGCGGGTGGTTGGAATGGACTTTGGGTCTTTGTTTGCAGGACGAGCTGGTTGATGAGGACGAGCTGTTTTGTTGATGAAGCCGGGTTGACTCACGTTCGAAGTTCGAAGTTTTCTCGAACACTGTTTCATTCTCGTCCTCTGTTCTAACTGTACCTCACTTAACACTTTACCTATGTAATACAATTACACATAATTTCCTACAGATCCTGAACGCCGAGCCTTACCTAATTTAGACCTAATTAAACACCAAATTCTGATATATATAATATTAATTCACATTTGAGAAAATAAAAATTTTCAATATATAAGTTAAAATTAGATAAAATTAACGAATGCAAATTTGGTGTTGGCCGCCGATTAGACAAGCCTAAGGACGGGTCGCCCACAATCTACAATTACCTTGCTGCATGGCTAACGACGTTATTACACAATACGTAAGACAATTTATAAAAACAATCCACATCTCCCCCGAGAACTTAGTTCGACACTCACGGCAGCTTTTACGGGGTCCACACGGAATTAAACAGTTCGCCACGGTTGGTAGAGTGGAGACTGGCAACGGTGACTTCCTGAACGTGGTTGTGGAGTGGATAGGTCGGTAGTGGGTCAGGTATGGCTGAGTGGGTAGTGGGTTGGCTGAAATGACTGATGGGGATAACTATCAGGGAAAGCGCCAAGCCATTACGACTATATAGCACTGGGAAGGGGGTCAGGATAAGCGAAGATACACTTATATATATATATATATATATATATATATATATATATATATATATATATATATATATATATATATATATATATATATATATATATATATATATATATATATATATATATAAACATATAAATATATATATTCCACAATCACATATATATATAAAAGCAAGATTGAACTATATTAGGCCTAAAATGACGTATATTAGACCTGGGATTGCGTGGACAGGTTTGGTTAGATTCTATGGGTCCATTTCTGAACTTTAGAATGCCATTTGGGTTAATTTTATAATACAAACGAACTGTTTTGGGATCGAATAGTTATTTTTTGTTCGTTTGACCGAATAGTTATTGTAAGGATTATCATTTTGGGAGGATCGGGTGTATTAAAGTCACTCTTCCCACCTTCTCTCTCTCTCTCTCTCTCTCTCTCTCCTTTCTATCTCCCTTTCTTGTTGTTCTTTATCCTCTCCCTCCCTCTCTTTCTTCTGTCTCTCCCTCGTGTTTGCCGACTATGCAATAGGTCAATTACCTGACCACCACACAATCATGTTACAAAAGCCTGACTCTAATGCAGCAATTAAACTTGTGATACCATTTCGTAAGGTATTACTTTATGGAATAAATTGCTGTTTTTATTCCATCTTCTATCCTAATTATCTTGATAAATGTGTGTGTGTGTAAGATCGAGCTGTTAGCTCTTAGACCCCGCCTTCTTAACCATATGTTAGAAATATTTAGTAGATATCTATTATCGTATCTGCTACATATATTTCTCTCTCACACACATTTCCAGATTGCAGCCTTAAACAGTTAATTCTCAGGTACATATTTACTGCTACCTGAATAAATAATATCCCATCAGTTTGCATAAAACTTGACAAAACTTGTGTAAACTGTTCACAGATCATAAAATAACTCGTCTATTTTATAACAAAATTCAAAGTTTTCCATAACACATCGAGTCCTGAAAATGTCGTATTGTTTAATTATTTTTCCCTCTAACCAATAAAACAACATAAAAACTTCATCTTCGTAACTTCGTCACGTCTTATCATCTTTGTAAATGATATAAAAGCCTCATTTTCATAACTTCGTCACGTCTTATCATCTTTATAAATGACATAAAAGCCTCATCTTCATAGCTTCGTCACGTCTTATCATCTTTATAAATGACATAAAAGCCTCATTTTCATAACTTCGTCACGTCTTATCATCTTTGTAAATGATATAAAAGCCTCATTTTCGTAACTTCGTCATGGTACTATCTCTTTAGAAGGCGAAGAGATGCCTATCATCTCAGATTAAGCCACCACAAGAGGTAACACAGGCATCAATAACCTCTTAAACCATAAACAATGTGTCACAGAGCTACGTAACGAGTCGGGGGGGCAATGATCAGGTGCCTTCAAGACGTCTTCTCTATGCCGTCTGAGACAAAGACCAAAGCAGAATGTGAGGAGGAGAATAATACCCATTTTCTATACTTTGGAAGCATAATGTCAGAACATTACACAACCCAGAGGAACAATAACTTCATTCACAATAACTTCAATAACTGTTTCATTGTGTAATAATAATTATACAAATAGGAACAAATGATTTAGTATAATCTGCGGTCATTTGTAAATCCGTTAAGAGGTGAAATTATTACTATTCAACCCTGGAAACACAAACCGAAATTGTCTCTATTTTCCGCTTGTTACAACTTGTGATAAAGTTGTTACATCTTGGCTTAACGTGTTTATGACGTATTAGAACGTTGTTACAACTTGCTATATTGGTTGTTATAACTGGTTAGGTGGTGTTAAAACTTGTTCGAACGTTGTACCAACGTCGTAGTTTCGGTGTGTGTTTGGCGGGAAGAGAAACCATACTGCTTTTTTAGTTACTGTCTTGTTTTTCACCTTGAGAGAACAAAGAACTAGCAAGAAAATCAACAAATCATGTTGCAATACTGGTGCATTAAACCAGTCAGGCCTCGTGTAGACATCAGCTCCAAGCCTAATGATGAAAGTTGTCTAGCACTAATTTTACGGGATCACCATAGCCCGTGCTACATAGACATTTCGTTCTGAGTAGCTAAATCTAAAAACAACAACATCACTAATTACACAATTACAAGAATAATCCACATCATCCATAATCCAAACTATGAATTCCTATATCAAATATTTGTATTATAATTACATAAAGATTTTATATATATATATAATTACATCGACTGCAAACCTGAAGTTAATTTCTCACATTACGCTTACGAAAGCGTCTGATATGGCTATCGTCCAAGCTTCCTGTATCACAGTGGTCTACGTCCTCGGCTTGCAGTCGAATGACCAAGGTTCAATCCCCCGAACAGGAGAGAAACGGTTGGAAAGGTTTCCTTTCACCTAATGCCTCTTTTTTTTTAACCTAGCAGTAAAATAAATACTTAGGAGTTAGATAGCTGTTGTGGGATGCATTCTGGGGCAGGCCCGTAGTTGACATAAATAATAAGCCAAAGCACAGGCTTCTTGTCCCTTAAAACGGTAATTATTATCACAGTAAATTCTTAAAAAAAATGGCATAATTTACTTATTTCAGTATTAAACACTACATAACTAATTTAATAATGTGGTAGAGTGGTTAGAGAAAATATATATTTTAATAAAGTCAGTAATACTAGGCTACACACTCCTCAAGCTATCTGTTCATCTCCCGACTGTCATCATAAGGAAGGATAGACGTAACTTAATGTTCAAGAGAGAGGTTGAACAAAGACAACAGACCCGGCAGTAGTGCTCCATTATTCACAGCAGAGAGTGAAAGGCTGCAGAAGGTTGGTTGAACCGGGGGAAAGGCTGTTGCCGGCGCGGAACGACCAGGCAGCAGCCAGCAACACGTGGACTGGGAGCATTGTATCCACGCTCCCTGGTTGTATCCACGCTCCCTGGAGGACGACTCCACGCTCCTCTGAGGACGGCTCTACGCTCCCTGGAAGACGACTACACGCTCCTCTGAGGACCAGAAGGCGAGCTCCTCTGAGGACTACAAGGACACACTCCTCTGAGGACCAGGAGGCCATGTTCCCCAAAGGACTGAACCCGAAGTCTACACTCCCTAGATATGGGAGATACGTGTGTGTACACTTCAGCTCTGGCTTCAATGTTTACAAACACTAACCACAGACAATGAAACCAGCCTCACGCCACCAACATCAAATTATGGGGAGATTACCACCCACAGGATGGGTATGGGGTCCACTACCACACACAGGATGGGTATGGGGTCCACTACCACCCACAGGATGGGTATGGGGTCCACTACCCCCGACAGGATGGGTATGGGGGTCCACTACCACCCACAAGATGGGTATGGGGATCCACTACCACCCACAGGATGGGTATGGGGTCCACTACCACACACAGGATGGGTATGGGGGTCCACTACCACACACAGGTTGGGTATGGGGTCCACTACCACACACAGGATGGGTATGGGGGTCCACTACCACCCACAGGTTGGGTATGGGGGTCCACTACCACCCACAAGATGGGTATGGGGTCCACTACCACCCACAGGATGGGTATGGGGTCCACTACCACCCACAGGATGGGTATGGGGTCCACTACCACCCACAGGATGGGTATGGAGGTCCACTACCACCCACAAGATGGGTATGGGGATCCACTACCACCCACAGGATGGGTATGGGGTCCACTACCACCCACAGGATGGGTATTGGGTCCACTACCACCCACAGGATGGGTATGGGGGTCCACTATCACCCACGGGATGGGTATAGGGGTCCACTACCCCCGACCGGATGGGTATGGGGGTCCACTACCACCCACAGGATGGGTATGGGGATCCACTACCACCCACAGGATGGGTATGGGGGGTCCACTACCACCCACAGGTTGGGTATGGGGTCCACTACCATCCACAAGATGGGTATGGGGATCCACTACCACCCACAGGATGGGTATGGGGGGTCCACTACCATCCACAAGAAGGGTATGGGGATCCACTACCACCCACAGGATGGGTATGGGGGGTCCACTACCACCCACAGGATAGGTATGGGGGTCCACTACCACCCACAGGATGGGTATGGGGATCCACTACCACCCACAGGATGGGTATGGGGTCCACTACCACCCACAGGATGGGTATGGGGATCCACTACCACCCACAGGATGGGTATGGGGGGTCCACTACCACCCACAGGTTGGGTATGGGGTCCACTACCATCCACAAGATGGGTATGGGGATCCACTACCACCCACAGGATGGGTATGGGGGGTCCACTACCACCCACAGGATGGTTATGGGGGTCCACTACCACCCACGGGATGGGTATAGGGGTCCACTACCCCCGACAGGATGGGTATGGGGGTCCACTACCACCCACAGGATGGGTATGAGATAGCGTCACATAAAGAGTGTTACAGGATGGGAATAAAATTAGTTATTTACTTTCAAGTATATTTAGTCGATGCGTCACAGCTGAGGCATATATATATATATATATATATATATATATATATATATATATATATATATATATATATATATATATATATATATATATATATATATATATATATATATATATATATATATATATATATATATATATATATATATATATATATATATATATATATATATATATGTGTGTGTGTGTGTTAGTGTTACTAATAATTTGTGTGTTCGTACATAATCGTATATCTGACTATACGAATTTATCTGATAAGTCATTTTGTTCATTAAAATACAGATTACAAGTCATCAACCTTTCTTATGTATGGTAATGTATATTATTGATATTAAAAGTCCCCTTCAACGAGTATAGGCGTAGGTAGGCCTAAGGTTACAGGTATTTAGGCCTAAGAGTGATAGTGTTCCAATCTTGAACAAGCCACTTGGAGAATTCATTAGTACAAAATATGATTTTTTGTAGGTATAACCGTTCATTTTTGTACGTTTAACCAGTAGCCGATATATGTACAATCAAATTTCGGAGGATATTCCTGGTGTAAGACAATCGCTCTCAGGTTGATTGTGTAATACAATGATAACGTAATACAATGATAACTTAATCACAATTCATTGATTGTTTGAGCACATCGCCCCAATTCGTCCGACAACAGCTGCAAAAAAGTTGATATTTCAACCAAATGTTAAATATTATCAAATATTAACATAATTTGCCTTTCAGACAACGCAAGACGTATTCAGGGCTAAGATACGTCTGAACATATCATGGTTCGGTCGGTAGTGCATGAGCCTGAGAAGTTCAGGAACGCGGGTTCGATCCCATTATATGACATCATTGCTTTCTTATTACCTTAAACTATAAACAAACACAACTCACACATGAAATGATGTGGTAGTGACGGCCCTTATCCAGACGTTCTTAATCCTTATCCAGACGTCTTGAACCTTTATCCAGTCGTTCTAAATCCTTATCCAGTCGTTCTAAATCCTTATCCAGTTGTTCTAAATCCTTATCCAGACGTCTTGAACCTTTATCCAGTCGTTCTAAATCCTTATCCAGTTGTTCTAAATCCTTATCCAGACGTCCTGAACCTTTATCCAGTCGTTCTAAATCCTTATCCAGTCGTTCTAAATCCTTATCCAGTTGTTCTAAATCCTTATCCAGTCGTTCTAAATCCTTATCCAGTCGTTCTAAATCCTTATCCAGTCGTTCTAAATCCTTATCCAGTCGTTCTAAATCCTTATCCAGACGTCCTGAACCTTTATCCAGTCGTTCTAAATCCTTATCCAGTCGCTCTAAATCCTTTATGTCGTAATAAGACGTTTCCATTCATTATCTCTCTCTAGTTAACAAGGAAATTCATTCACAATGTAAAATGCATGACAATGATAAAAACTAAAATGAATAATACAAGAAAAAAAATTATTTGTAAAGCACTAACTAGTTTTTTATAATATAATTTAATAGTATTAAATATCATTGGGTATAATTTGCCCTGTAGGCCTTCTATGAACTATAGGCCTATTGTGGAGGGCAGTAGGCTTACTCTGAGATTACGGCGAGGTTAATTTGGGATACAGTAGGCCTACTGTAGGCCAGTGATTCCCAATTTTCTTCGAGGAACAGTATTTGAAATATATGAAATATTTTGAAATATTTTATATGAAATATTTTGAGAATTATTTTGAGAAATATTTTGTATATGAAATATTTTGAGAATTCTCTGGAAACCCCCAACTTGACTGACACACACTAGAACATAATGAAAATAACTTCAGAAGGCCTATTGACCTATACGAAGGAGCTCCTATATTTATATGCACCCAATCCCATTCATATATGTGTCTAACCTACGCTTGAAACACTCAAGGGATCCTATTTCTAATATATGAACTTAAGAACTAACTAGTTTTGGATAAAATAGGTTCAAGAGGGATAAATTAGAAAATAGATTTGTAAAATAGTCTCCCCTTAAAGAGATTGCATAAAAATAAATTTATCTGGCATTAATTAACCAGCCCGTTCTCCTAAGGTTGTCCCAACGTCAAGAAACTGGCGTACTAGAGTGCCCTTATCCTATCCTACCAGAGGACCTAAAACAGAAAACGGGACAGTATATCAATTTCGCCAGCCGCTTCCATTTTCCAGTACAACAACCTTTGGCCTTCGACTAAACGTCAAAATGCGACCTTCTATTAGGAGGACGGGTTGAATTAACAGTATTTACTTAACAATAAAGTGTATAGTAATAATACTGTACTCGTGTACTGTAACTTTAACCTGCAAATTGTAAAGTTTTGACAGGAACACATCATTGTTGAACTTTAAAATCCAGCTTGAAAACAAAAATCAACATGCCAAATGGGGGGGACATTTGACGAGCCACCGGCTTCCTGTCCTCGTCGGGGCCACTAGAGTCCTAGTGACCCCTCAGGTAAATCAATAACATCAGCGAGCAGGAGGCCTAACACTATCCATTACAGCCTTCTACTGGTAATACTTACTTTTTAAATAAATATTATCTCGCCAATATCTAAGTAAAGACAAAATATTCTTCATTGTTTCATTAACAGGTTATGTTAAAAACCTTATCAATTGTATTAATTTTTACTCGAGTATGAAAAAGGTGGCAAGTTGTACTTTTTTTTCGCAAGCATGAGCAAATTCTGGAGGAACCCGTGTTTCGTGGAGTCCTGGTTGGGAATCACAGCTGCTGGCCTAAAGTGGGTACTGTGGGCTACAGTAGGCCTCCTGTGGGCTACAGTAGGCCTCCTGTGGGCTACAGTAGGCCTCCTGTGGGCTACAGTAGGCCTTATGTGGGCTACAGTAGGCCTCCTGTGGGCTACAGTAGGCCTCCTGTGGGCTACAGTAGGCCTCCTGTGGGCTACAGTAGGCCTCCTGTGGGCTACAGTAGGCCTCCTGTGGGCTACAGTAGGCCTTATGTGGGCTACAGTAGGCCTCCTGTGGGCTACAGTAGGCCTTCTGTGGGCTACAGTAGGCCTTCTGTGAGCTACAGTAGGCCTCCTGTGGGCTACAGTAGGCCTTCTGTGGGGCTACAGTAGGTCTTCCGTGGGCTACAGTAGGCCTTCTGTGGACTACAGTAGACCTTCTGTGAGCTACAGTAGACCTTCTGGGGGCTACAATAGGCCTTCTGTGGGCTACAATAGGCCTTCTGTGATCTACAAAAGGCCTTCTGTGGGCTACAAAAGGCCTTCTTGGGCTACTTCTATATTTCAACATAACTGAGTACAAATGCCATTTGGAAATATTGCCGTATAAATATATAGAAGTAAATATTTACTTCTTTTTGCAAAGAAGGAAATGTCTCAAATCCGTCAACACATTAAAGGGCTGTCCTCGCATCTCTTAATGTCTATTATGCTCTTTCTAAGAGCTTTATTCCGTGTTTTCTCCTTTTGTGTTCCCCCTCCGGTTACGCCATCAGCACCTTCTTCTTCTTTGTCTTCTCTCCCGGCCTGAAGTCCTCGTAGAGGGCCGCCTCCTTCTGCCTCTGCTTCTCCTCCTCCATGACCGTCGCCGTCACCATGGCGTCCACGTCTTCAGCGTTGTATACGCTCCCCTGACACCAAAGAAAACGGCCCAGTTACAGAAAATGGAGATGTGAAGTTTAAGGGGGGAATACTTATTTATTTAGAATATTTACGAGTTTACCTGCGAGCCAAACACTAGTGGGCTAGATGAGAACAGGAAGCCGGCGGCTTGTCGCTAGGTCCTCCTCCCAATTTGCCTTGCACTTGAGGGGCGGGGGGGGGGGAAGGAACCTTCCCCCCACCATTTCAAAAAGTTACATGCACTCCTCTGTAATGCAAGCAATTACGGGCTCCGAAGATATTTAACCCTATTTCCTATCATCTAATCCATCTGTTCACCTAGCAGTAATATAACGATAAATGTTAACACAGCAGTAATGCTGATAATTACAGATAATAGCAGGTTATTATAATACCAGATAATTACATTCTACCTTCTTCAAGACCCCGAACCAACACAGACACACGATGATAAACACACGGAATATATCCATTGATTCCTGTTTTCTGTTTTATCCCCTCACTCCAAAAAATTAACAGTATGTAAAATTGTCTTTACCCATTGATTTGTGTCCTGTCACCTCACCCAAAAACGAATAGAAGTATGAAACAAGAGTATCTAAAATTGTCTTTGAAAATGTAAGAAGTGTCTTGCGAAACGCTTCTAGGCGTCAGACCATAAATAAAGTGTGAAAATGAACTTTGGAGAGTTAATTTTTCATCTACACTCGACAGTAAAGAAAACGTAAGACATATTGAGAAGATTCATGTTAGAATCATTAATCGTATCCTTGAGGTTATATTCAACATAAGTTTACAAGAAAGACTGCTACCAATATATATATATATATATATATATATATATATATATATATATATATATATATATATATATATATATATATATATATATATATATATATATATATGCGAACAAGCCTGAATGGTCCCCAGGACAATATGCAACTGAAAACTCACACCCCAGAAGTGACTCGAACCCATACTCCCAGGAGCAACGCAACTGGTATGTACAAGACGCCTTAATCCACTTGACCATCACGACCGGACAAAATGAGGTGATAGCCGAGGCTATTTGAACCACCCCACCGCCGGCACTCGGATAGTAATCTTGGGCATAGCATTTTACCAAATCACCTCATTCTTTGGGGCACACGTGAGGAACACAAATAATTGGTTCAATTATCGCCTTTATATATAGCCACCAATTATAGGGTGGTTCAAATAGCCTCGGCTATCACCTCATTTTGTCCGGTCGTGATGGTCAAGTGGATTAAGGCGTCTTGTACATACCAGTTGCGTTGCTCCTGGGAGTATGGGTTCGAGTCACTTCTGGGGTGTGAGTTTTCAGTTATATATATATATATATATATATATATATATATATATATATATATATATATATATATATATATATATATCATATAATATATAAAAAGTCATTAGAATTTTTCTAGCATGGTGCTCTGATGAGGCTTTAACATGTGAACTTATTAACTTTGTGAACTTTCGTCTATAACATAATATTGAAACGTGATTTATAGGTTCGAGTTCCAACGCAATGTTCGAATGAGGCGATATATTTCTATTTTTTTCTAATACGAAGTTCGAAATTGATGTCTCTTGACACAATTTTCGAACTTAAAACATAATTAGACCAAGTATTCGAATGTGATTTTATATTTCGTTCGAACTATGAGCGTTCGAATAGCGTGCGAGACGAAGCATCAATGTCCTCGTGTGTTTGTGTAGTGAGGGTAATGACATCAATCGTTGGTAAGGACCCATTGATCCCCTGCTAGTGACGCCAGCGCCAGCGGCCATCTTGGCAACCTTGAACAGCATTCTATCAAACTCCGCCACTGTTTTTAGCATTTTTTCTTTAATTAAGAACACTTATTTCACTTAGTATTAAGAACACACTTTCCTGCCCGAAACGCTTTGCGTAATAGTGGCTTTAGGCATCGTGTGTAATAGCTCCATCTATAAATCGATCAATTTATGTAAAATCTCTTGTATGTATGTACCTTACCTGAATAAACATTTTATTTTTATTTTTTCTTATTGCATGCAATTTTCACTACATATGTGTAATATATTTCGTGTATATAACTTGTATTATACACGCAGTTGTATGGTATACTTGTCGGGTGAGAGCACTAGGCTGTGTTTTGGTAGTTTTGGGGTTAATTATTACTATGTCGGGAAGGATGAGGATAGGTAAGGATTATTTGACTTCGGTCTTGAGGTATAAGGCCTACCGGCCACCAGGACCATTAAGGGCTATCGTCTACCGTACTATCGTCATTAAGAACTATCGTCCATCAAAGCCTCAATATATATTATCTAACGCAGCGAGAGTTTAGGACTTTAGTGGAATCTAAGTATATAAATACACTTTTAGAAGTGCATGTACACTGTGAAGAACTCTTCTCAATGTATATATGCAGTCTCCGTGGTGTAGTGGTAAGACACTCGCCTGGCGTTCCGCGAGCGCTATGTCATGGGATCGTATCCTGGCCGGGGAGGATTTACTGGGCGCAATTCCTTAACTGTAGCCTCTGTTTAACGCAACAGTAAAATGTGTACTTGGATGAAAAAACGATTCTTCGCGGCAGGGGATCGTATTCCAGGGACCATAGGATTAAGGACTTGCCCGAAACGCTACGCGTACTAGTGGCTCTACAACCATGTAACAACTCTTGTATATATCTCAAAAAAAAAAAAAATATCCCGGTTTGTGCTTTTTTGTGTATGGGTATGCAGGTGTGTATGCAGGTGTGTATGGGCACGCAGGTGTGTGTGGCGAGAACTTACCTTCATGGTGGCACAGGTAAAGAGGCCGTAGATTGTCAACAAACTGCCCAAGACAATAAAAGTTATGCCCACAGCCAACCCTGGATCAGACATCTTCTCCCGGCTCCACCCGTTGGCTCCTGTTTACTCCTGTTGACTTCCGTTGGCTCCTGTTGACTCCAGCTGGACTTTCTGGCGTTGTGGCTATGTCTACTTTGCTTTTTGTTAGTAATGTTGCAATTTGAGAGGTTTGATCACCGTTGCTTGATATTCGGATATAAAAGCCTCTCTTTTATATATTGGCGTTAATTCTGCTGCTGCTACTGCTTCCTAAAAAGTAAAACCATTAACAGCATAAAACCCCTTTAACCTTTCCCCCTTAACTGTATGCAACTATCAATTCCGCTTAACAACTCTTTCTCGCAAATAGACTGAACCTTAATGACAATCAAAATAACAGTAGGCTATTGCAGGCTATTGCAGGCTATTGGCCCATACGAGCTGCCTCGTATGGGCCAATAGGCCTGCTGCAGTTCTCATTACTACTATCCCCTACACCTGACTTTCCTCCTCAGCTCTCTCTTGCCTATTTAATGCCTGTCCCTACCTGTCCTCATCACAATCGACTTGAGAATGGTCCAGGACGGACCGAAACGTCGTCGTCCCTTCAATTTCTAGTGTGTGGTCTGGTCAACAGTAGGCTATTGGCCTAAACTACCTTATCTCGAATTCCATACCACCAAGTCAAGTTGCAAAAGAACTGAGGTTAAAACTATTACATTGCAAGCATTGCAAGGGTGCAACAGCCCGGGTTGACAAGTTATTATTATGATAAAGACATACGCAAAGAAACGATAATGATATTTATAATGACAAGATACTAGACATTACAAGGAATAAAGGGTAGTTGAGCAATATTAAGTTAATATTAAGAGATGTGTAGCTAAGTAATATCTGTAGAGTGTATAAGAGATTATTAGCTGATAGAAGAGGTCAGACATTACATTCTCCTATCCCAGTCTATCCTGGAATCATATCCCAGTGTATCCCGAAATCATATCCCAGTCTCCTGTACCTGTCCATTCCGGTCTCCTGTCCCAGTCTACTTCACGAACATCACAGTTGTGAACTGACATAAAAACAAAAGCCCAAAAAGCTGCCACAGAGGTGTAAAGTGATTCATTAAACTGTGGTCAAGTGTGATGCATCGAATAGTCCGTTATCACCATCTCCGTAAAATATGCAACTGTTTTGCCTGACCCGACACCCTGTCACACACACGGGGGAGGGGGGGGGGCAGAGTGGACAAAGCCAAACTCTTCAGCACAGGTGGGACACGAACAAGGGGACACAGGTGGAGACTGAGTAACCACATGAGCCACAGAGACGTTAGAAAGAATTGTTTCAGTGTCAGAGTAGTTAACAGGTGGAATGCATTAGGCAGTGATGTGGTGGAGGCTGACTCCATACACAGTTTCAAGTGTAGATATGATAGAGCCCAGTAGGCTCAGGAACCTGTACACCAGTTGATTGACAGTTGAGAGGCGGGACCAAAGAGCTAAAGCTCAACCACCACAAGCACAACTAGGTGAGTACACACACAAACAAAGTTTTGTTAGTAAATAACTCCAATAAATCTAGCGTGTTCCAGCTTGTCCTCACACTTAATTAATGCATAGCAAGACGTATGCATAGTAGCGTATGCATAGACAATTAATGCATACTAGAAGTATGGACCAAGAAATCCAGTACATTATTGAAACTTCTAGCAACACAATATGGACGTTTCCTCGAACTAACGACCATCTAATTTGTTGCTTGGAGACTGTGAGTTAAGAAATCAAATCTGGCTCCTTAAACCTGACCTGTATCAACCACCCGTCCAGTTACAAGCCACATCGAACCGCGTTTAACCCAAGCTGACCAAACACCAATCATTTATAACAAAAATCTATACAACGTTAAACAAGATAATGACAATCAAGACGTAGAGACCCACCTATAACACCTACTCCCGGCGACAGCTGGGCAGCTACTGGGGGCAGGTGGCGCCAGCTGGCTCCTCTGTTGTTATTGTCGCCCTGACGCCAGAAGAGTTGCCACAACCACCTATAATGTATAACTCCCTACCCTTATTTATACTCCTTAAACACTTATAAATCATAATAAGGCTGACTGTTAGCATGATTAAATATCACTTTATATATATACATTCAGTAAAGGTGTTAATATCATGATATATTTTATTAGTTGTTTAATTATAATTAACAAAAATGGTTCTGGTAACATTGGCAGCGGGCACAATGTTGCCAAGCGATATGTATATAAACAAAGATGTTGCCACATATCTGAAAATCTTATATTTTTTGCATTTTATATATCTATATATTTGTATTTTTTGAGGAATGAGAGTGCTATGATAATTTGTTGATGTAGTGCTTCCATAGCTTTGGTTACTAAGTACCCTTAATGTTGTTTGTAAGTAAACAGGAGTTTGGAAAGTTTATGTTGCTTATGTAGGAATTCTCGCTGTGAAGGAATTATGACCATGCAATTTTGGTCCTGTGGTCCCGGGTTCGATACCGTGCGCCGGCGAGAAACAATGGTCAGAGTTTCTTTCACCCTGATGCTCCTGTTACCTAGCAGTAAATAGGAACCTGGGAGTTAGTCAGTTGTCACGGGCTGCTTCCTGAGGTGTGTGTGTGTTGTGGAGAAAACAAAATAGTAGTTAATAACAGTTGATTGACAGTTGAAAGGCGGGCTGAAAGATCAGAGCTCAACCCCCGCAAGCACAACTAGGTGAATACATAGACAGTCTATCCCGTCGACTGTCTATGTACGAAATGTCTTTCAGTCCACCCCGTTCTCGCGAGCTGACGTTTTTTTTTTTTTTTGAGATATATACAAGAGTTGTTACATTCTTGTAGAGCCACTAGTACGCGTAGCGTTTCGGGCAATTCCTTAATCCTATGGTCCCTGGAATACGATCCCCGCCGCGAAGAATCGTTTTTTCATCCAAGTACACATTTTACTGTTGCGTTAAACAGAGGCTACAGTTAAGGAATTGCGCCCAGTAAATCCTCCCCGGCCAGGATACGAACCCATGACATAGCGCTCGCGGAACGCCAGGCGAGTGTCTTACCACTTAACGTTAGTACGTTATCCTCTCAGTACGAATAATCAACAGCCTGAGAGAGTAGTACTACTATATACAGGCAAGAGTGGGCTGTGGCTCACTTGGTACAGCTACCTGCCAACTGATTGGACCCAGGTTCGAAACTTGAGGACGAGACGTTTGGAGTCCTTCCCTTACAGGTGATACCCATGTTCCTAGCGATAATAGGTACTCTAGGTACTTCTAGGTAGCAGTAATAGGTACCCTAGAATAAGGAGACAGTCTTGTGTTACATCCTGAGGAAGCTGAATTCCTTGCTAAGGGTAACCTAATCAGTCTTTCTGTTCCTTAATTTATATACACAATAGTTCTTACATTCTTGTACAGCCACTAGCACGTATAGCGTTTCGGGCAGGCCTTTAATCCATTTTTTCCCCCCTGGAATACGACCCGTTAAATCGTCTAACAACCAGGTACACATTCACTGCTGGGTGAACAGGGGCTACAGTTAAGGTTTGGCGCCCAGTCAATCCTCCCCGGCCAGGATACGAACCAAGGCCAAAGCGCCAGGCGAGTGCTTTACCGCATGCCAGAGAGCAAGATGGTTGCGTTGCTCACAACGGGGCTCATTTCCCGAAAGCGTAAATATGTAACCATTAAACTGTAAATACAAATACAAAAATAAAGTATTAAAAAAATTTGAAATATTATTTATTATTGTTTACCCTAAGCGTTTTAGTTTTCTTTGATCTCAAGTTCATGTACATTTTCTTTAATTCAAGTTTATTTAGGTAAACATAACTCGCCTAGTTGTATACACAGGGTATGTGTCACGGCTCTTGGGTCCCGCCTCTCTACAGGAAGGGGGTACAGTTGAAGAGCAGCTGCAGCAGTTGGAGTGGCTGTCGTAAGAGAAGATGTGCCAGAGTTTGACTCAGCTGTCTGATTGCTTGAATAGTTAACGGTTCAGGAGGCAATTATGATGAAATTTCTTTATACTTTCCTTCATTTTTCCTGGTGGAATCTTCAGCGAACAGTGGCTTTCTTCTTCGTCTTCTTCGTGGCTATACATCTTATTTTCCTGGTGGAATCTTCAGCGTACAGTGACTTTCTTCTTCGTGGCTATACATCTTATTTTCCTGGTGGAATCTTCAGCGTACAGTGACTTTCTTCTTCGTCTTCTTCGTGGCTATACATCTTATTTTCCTGGTGGAATCTTCAGCGAACAGTTGCTTTCTTCTTCGTCTTCTTCGTGGCTATACATCTTATTTTCCTGGTGGAATCTTCAGCGAACAGTGGCTTTCTTCTTCGTCTTCTTCGTGGCTATACATCTTATTTTCCTGGTGGAATCTTCAGCGAACAGTGGCTTTCTTCTTCGTCTTCTTCGTGGCTATACATCTTATTTTCCTGGTGGAATCTTCAGCGAACAGTGGCTTTCTTCTTCGTCTTCTTCGTGGCTATACATCTTATTGTCACCCTGCTGTTGTTGGTGATACTGTTGCTAGGGTATTGACCGTCGTTTAGTCTTAATTTAATCTTTAGTCTTACTCTTTAGTCAAGAGTGCGACTTAACCAAACTAGAAATGCTCTACAAATCAAGGAACCCAGAATGTGAAATGGTCTGCCCAATCATGTCAAAGGCTGTACCTCTCTCAACCAGTTTAAGAGTAAATCCAAGTACTACCTAATTAACTCCATGTAACCTACCTTACCCCATAAATGTCAACCCATGTCTTGCTTTTGTTAAACAATGCTGTTTGTTCACCAACTTGTACAATTGCTGATTTCTGCCATGTTCCCCCTTTTATTATTTTTTATACCTTTTTTCAACACAATTTATACCTAATCCCAATTACTATTAAGTTTTAGTATAAGTGTCCCCCCCCCACACCTTGTCCGAAACGCTATGCGTACTAGTGGCTTTAGGTATTGTATGTACTAGCTCTATATATAAATCCAACATTATGTTTGTAAATCAACTATATATGTACTTTTCCCGAATAAAATTTGATTATTTATTTATTTATTTATTACTGCCTCACAATACAATACAATTTTATTTAGGTAAGGTACATACAATAAATATTTAAAAGGATTGTTTGACTTATAGGTAGAGCTAGTACATACAATGCCTAAAGCCACTATTACGCAAAGCGTTTCGGGCATGATAAACTTAAATGACAAGCTTAATACTAATTGAGCATAATGAGTAGAATGAAAACAAGAAATGAAAACATAGATGAAAAGGCAGCTCACTGTTGAAGCAGTAGAAGTGTACGAGAATGTTCGAATTTGCGTAGATTCTTCTGTTTTATTTGGTTGTGTTTTGGTTCTACGGTAGATTTGAGGGTTTGTTGTTGTTGTTAAGATTCGCTACCTGGAACCAAAAGTCCCAAGTAGCACGGGCTATAGTGAGCCCGTAGTAGACTTGAGGGGTTTCTACAAGTGGAGAAACATGGGTGGGTGAGGCTGGGCTCTACACTGGACGTGGCGAGGCTTGCGCTGCTGGCGAAGCCTCTTGTGATGGTGCTGGAGTAGCGGGAATTGTTGAAAGTATGGCTTTTGGAACTATTACCGCCAACAGGTTATTTGCAGTTAACAGACTATTAATAGTCTGGGGAAATAAGCTGTGATCCTTTCCACCCATTCTTGGACTTGAATCTTGCTTGTCGTTGGTGCGTGGTGTGGGCGGAGTGCAATCCGGCCTCCTAAAGCTTCCCAACGGTCAAGTAAACGGTCAATTTAAAGTGGTCTCCCCTAATCTACCAGATGACCCAATACAGAAAACGGGACAGTACGTCACTTTCGCCAGCCGTTTCCATTTTCTAGTACGTTAGTTATTGGCCCCATGTAACGCATACGAGCGAAAAACAACGTTCTAGAGGGCGTTGCAGAGTGAATGGCTGTGTTGCGTCTCCCCAGGCACATATTGCAAGAATGTAATGTAACTCTTGTATGTATTAACTAAAAGTCTGTGGCAAGGTGCGACCAGTGTAATTATCAAAGTATAAGTACTATATATAACACATAGTTACTCTGGTGCTATTTATTTGGCAGGGACATTCCTGAGCGGACCCTAAGAATCAGGGGCCCGATTCACGAAACAGTTACGCAGGTACTTACGAACCTGGGGCAAGATTCACGAAGCAGTTACTTACGAACGTGTACATCTTTCTACAATCTTTGACGTCTTTGGTTACATTTATTAAAAGTTTAAAAGCATGAAAACTTCCCAATCAAATTTTGTTGTTGTTATAAACAGCCTCCTGGTGCTTCGGCGTCCATCGAGTGTTTAATAATTGTAAACAAAGCCGCCAAAGATTGAGAAAAGATATACAGGTTCGTAAGTGCTTGCATAACTGCTTCCTGAATCTGGCCCCTGGCTAGTACCAAGTGTTGCTTGTTTCTGTTTTACTTAGCCGGTGTATGAGTATTTATGACGCGTATGTTCGATTCAGTATGATTATGCCCCATAATCCGGGGAGCCGGTCGGCCGAGCGGACAGCACGCTGGATTTGTGATCCTGTGGTCCTGGGTTCGATCCCAGGCGCCGGTGAGAAACAATGGGCAGAGTTTCTTTCACCCTATGCCCCTGTTACCTAGCAGTAAAATAGGTACCTGGGTGTTAGTCAGCTGTCACGGGCTGCTTCCTGGGGGTGGAGGCCTGGTCGAGGACCGGGCCGCGGGGACACTAAAGCCCCGAAATCATCTCAAGATAACTCAAGATATGATGACTAAACTACTCATCAAATGAGGAGACGACGACGTTTCGGTCCGTTCTGGACCATTATCAAGTCGATTGTGATAAGGAAGAGAGAGAGAGAGAGAGAAGATTAAGCCACCCAAAAGGTGGCACGGGCATGAATAGCCCATAAGTAGTGGCCCTTTTAAGCCATTTCCAGTATCAATAGATGATACTGGAGATCTGTGGAGGCGCGA